CTCAGGGGTTGCAAGTCATCTTTCTTGAATCGCTTCTCGACATAAAGCTTACCCGTACCCTTGAGTCGAACAACATGAACTCCGCCATTCATTCCGCCTATAGCGCCATTCCCAGCGTCGAGTGTTTTGACGATTGTATACAAATGTCGTATGTTCTGGTTCCCAATAGCTTGACGTCGTGATTTCTCGACAGTTCCATTGGTATTTACCATCATAGTTGCAGATTCTCGAACGAGTCTGGAGACACCGATAAGGCTTGAGTTCATGACTTCTTTTTTGAAACGCGGGTTGTTATGTGATTGTTCCCCAGTCTGCGTGTTGTAATAATACTCACGAGGATTTGGGACAGACCTATCAACCTTGAGTTGCCAAGGCTTTGGGATTGCACCCTTCATAGGATGATCGTAAGTCAAATAACCATTAGGACCACGGAAGAAAACTCGATCATTGTTATCAAATTGACCATCCCAACCTGCAGGTAGGTCTGTCATCTCTGGAAGAAGTGCGTTTACCATCTTGCTGGATCTCCTTAGACAAGAAAGAAGATGATATACTGAACAGTCGTGTTCGATAATAAGAAAGTTGTTGTACTTCCAGGAGGATTTTTAGGACATTAAACCGGCGGAGATAGATTGAAGTAAATATACTAATGATTTGTGCATGGGTTGCAAAATTATCTTGCGATGATTCGTATGTGAATCACCGTTTTATAATGCTATGGCTCAAAATGTGAATCGAAATTTATTCTAGTCATCGATGTGCAGCCAGAATTAAATATGAAATAAAAGATTCTAAGAATCAACTCAATCTTTTCCTTGGTATTTTGTGAATAAGAGATGTCGACCAAGGATAACGTATACAGTTTTGAGCTTTGCAAACGCAGAAGGATTAAGGATGGGCCGCATTCAATCATTACTGACTTTGAGCTGTTAAAGGCCATGGCAGTAAAGAAGAATATCGCAGCACGAAGTAAAGAAAAAAGGCAAAAAACTCGAGGGGCTCCTTCGAAACACCTGAGTGAAGAGGATATCCAGCAACACGCCATACCTCATCAAGTATATACCTACGACCAGTTATTGCAGAACTATCAAAACTTCTTCCTAACTGGACCATTGATGAGGTGCTTAGATGATGACAAAAATATTGACGAAAGAATGGTAGGTATATTCATTCTCGGTTTCATTGTGAAGAGTAACCCTTTTGGACTGATCCGACTAACTTGTGTGTCCATGATCTAGGGAAACGAACTTCTTGTGAGATTACGGGAAGAAGTACTAAGAAGACCACCGAGTAAACGCCCCCAGCCTGGTATACAAATGACTTTTGATAATTATCGCAAAGAACTTCAAATCAGAGCATTTTGGGATAACGTTAGGCTGCAGCTTCAAACTAATGAAGAGGACGATTATATTAATGAGAGCAAATCAAAGGCTCCCTCTGAAGATTCCACAAATAAAGAATTAGTGGATCATGTGAAATCAAAAGCCCGAGGACTTCGTTCTTTGAAATTAGTAACGAAGATATATGGACGTCGTGATGATGCGAGATTTAGCACATGGCAAGGAGCAACGGGAAGTGTACATGGCCTTCGCTCAAACAAATTAGCGGCACAACCCCAGAAATTTTAGCTTCAAAGGGTCTCGGCAAGTTCCGGCATCCTCGACCAATTCAACACGTATTGTTCGAGCGCACCGCATGTAATCTTCAACATTGAACATTCAAACCACAATCATACAATATGGATCCATTCTCAGCAGAGGGCGAGCTTCTTAACTTGCACAATCATTTCCACCAAGGTCAATATCAGGAAGCCATTGATTTCGATACCAGTGCCCTTTCTCCAGAGAATGCACTCCCAGCGCGGGTTATATCACTAAGAGCTCAAATTGCACTCGGACGAGCTGAAGATGTTCTCGCAGATGTACAAGGAGAAGATGCCGTTGAATTAAAAGCTGTCGGAGCTCTAGCCGTGTTTGTGAGCGAGGATGAAGATAGGGGCGTCCAGATGATTTCGAAATTGGCAGAGGACTCGAGCGACAATGCGACAGTGCAGGTATTGGGTGGAACAGTTCTACAAGCTGCGGGAAAGAGCGAGGAAGCTCTGCAGTTGTTGGGACTGCACCAGGGGAACCGTAAGTATTATACACTTCAGGGTCACTCTATGGTCGCAGAGGGGGGCTAATCATGGGAATTAGTTGAGGCGGTGGCTCTCATTGTTCAAATTCATCTAGAACAAAACCGTACCGATTTGGCTATCAAGGAAGTTCAACAAGCTAGGAGATGGGCTCAAGATAGTCTGTTGGTTAACTTGGCAGAGTCCTGGGTGGGACTTAGAGTTGTAGGTTATCTCAAGTCCAGTATACAGAGTATCTTTTACTAACATCACCCTAGGGCGGAGAGAAATACCAGCAAGCATTCTATGTCTTCGAAGAACTCGCACAAGCTCCATCAACATCCTCAACACAAAGTCTTGTCGCGCAAGCAATCGCAGAAATACATCTAGGAAGATTGGAGGAAGCAGAAGCAGCATTAGATCAAGCTTTCAGCAAGGACCCCGAGAATGCTGAAGTCCTTGCAAACAAAGTCGTCTTGAAGACAATCTCAGGAAAGGAATCCAGTGATTTATTAAGGTATGTGTATTCTCCCTATAGGCGCTGCTTTCGTTCCGAATCAATCAAAGATTGAACATTGGATTTATGCTATACCTTTCTTGAATTCTTTCTTGCAAAATCATTGGAATGGCAATCCAAGGTTCAGCTCATGTTTGAACCACTTTGCAATGTTCCTTTTACTAACATTTGTCGTCTAGTTCATTAGGAAGCACAGCACCAGAACACGCATTCTTGAAGGACTTGGAGGAGAAGAACTCCCTCTTCGACAAGGCTGCCACGAAATACTCTCCCAAGGTCGCCGCCGCATAATAGACCATAGTTTAGTAGTAGTAGTAGACACAAAAATCATTTAGGGCGTTGGGGGAATTTATGTCGTTGTTTAGCGAGGGATTATAACAATGGTCTTCTCTTGTTTATGGAATGTTGAGATGGTTTATGCGAGAGTGAGGACATGACCACTCCATCTATGATCCAGTACCCGGTTGATGGCCATGGCTACTTTCCTAGGCTGCTCATAGTGGTCAGCAGCATGGGAAAGGGGTGATTGAAAAAGCGCAATCAGATAGAGAGAGAAATATGATGAATATCAATAATCTACTTACGATACCCAGATGATCAAAAATTATCGCATCAACCTGCACTCACTGTAGATTGTAGATCGCTAGGCGTATGGATGTGACTTTTATGTACATACGAAGTATGTACGAAGTGGTATGTGTAGGTAGGTAATTTATTTTGATTACCTATCACGTGTTACCTAGATCCATCATGAGCTTCAAGCTTGTCTTGTCTTGTCTTGTCGTGTCGTGTTCATCAAACAGATTCACAGATAAGAATAAGTTAGATGCAATCTAATCCGAATCAGAATCCGAATCCGAAGATTTAGATGTAGATCTAGATCTTCGGAATAGATCTTCGGAAGACTAGTAGGTAGGTACTAGGTGGGTAGGTATCTAACACATTTTTGTTCCAACGATAACGTCTCCATGGATAAGAGGGAAGAAAAGGAAAGATGAAGAAGAAAAGGAAAGGAAAGGAAAAAACCAAGTACGTAGAGTAGATCTACTTACTTACTTACTTACATGTGGGAAAAATCTCACGATAACCTCATTTTGAGTCATACTAGGTAGGTCCGTATTTTTTTCCCCTGGGTTTTTGGGGTGATGTATGATGTACGTAATCAGTGTGTGTTTGGAGTACTGGGTAGGTAGGTATCGTACAGAAAGAAGATCTTGATGGCTAGGTATCTGGAATCTGCATTGTGACATCATTTTATTTTATTCTACGATATTTCATTTCATTTCATTTCGCAGCAGAAAAATCGAATCGAATCGGATTGGAAACCCCATTCTGCTTTCCAAATTCCCATATGTACAGACGGAGTACATGTATACCTAGTACCTGGTATCTAGTAGCCAGTCGACTGCAGTCTATTGTAGTTGGGAAGGAAGAGAGGCACATTTCCAGGTGGTCTTGGAGCTTTGAATACTCCGTAGATATAAATGAAACAATTCATTAATTAATCAATCATTAATCAATCATGTTACTCGTTACTCGAGTAGTGAAATATGCAAAATGACGATCTGGATACTTATTGTGTTGCGTGGAATGTGCATACAGTAGGTACCTAGTAGACACTTGAAGTATATTTCGGGTCCTGTTTGAATCCATCTATCTAACTAGATAGGTATCCAACCAATAATGCGAAAACGTGCATGCGGTATTCGACTACGAAGTAAGTATGTGGCTCAATCCTCGCGTCAGTATATCGGTGAGCACCTGAGCAGTTTGTCTTAGCAATGCCCATGATCACGAGCAGTCAGCAACGCATGCATGTAGGAAAAAGCGCAAAGAGAGAAGGAAGCGTGGAGCACAGTGTGCAAGCGCTTGGATGATGGGATGGATCGTGGCTTGAAATTCTCCGTGAGGAATATACGCCAGTGTGAGAGTGTCTAAGATAAGCCTGTTTGTTCATGGTTTCAACTTTCACTCCATGCATATGCATGTGTGTGTATGTATTTTACGGAGTACCTAAGTGTGGTGCATCGTTTTTTGACTCGGTGCTTAGGACGTGCAATGGAATCCCTTGAAACAAATTGTGACACGGTTCGGGACTTCCTTTTTGGTAACACAACGTGCATAGGTAGTAAGTAGGTCGGAGGTATGGATGTTCTGGTAGATGAGAAATTGGAGTGCATGGAAACTTTGAACGTCGGTCGGTTGGTTGGTTGGTTGGTGGGTGTGTTCTGTTCTGTTGTTTTGTGTTACTGGGGTAGCGAGTCTAGATGTATGATGTCATTAGGTATGTACTGTGCACCGTACTGTACTCTGCGTTTTCCTCACCTCACTTCACTGCACGAGTGTGATGAATGATGAATCATAGGTACCTATCTATTACTATTACCTACGATAGTATCACCTCGTAATTTCCTACCTAGCATTGTCGACTCAAAACAATCCAAACACAACATGTATCCATCCAATCACAACAGAGAATCACAAACACATTTTCTTCCTCTCACATGCTCAACAATGGCAACGCACACTCTAGATCCTTCGTATCTTCAAGAACATTCTGTCCGTTCCTTCGCACCCACGTCTTTTCTTCCACGCTTACACTCCCCCACCAATCACTTGTTCCACGCACTGCCCCTCTATTCAAGTGCCCCACCAAGGTTCCAGATACCAAGATCGAATTTGTCCTTGAGACATCGATATCTCGTTTGCCAAAGTTGGAACTAATGGTGGGCAACTTTTCCAAGAGACACACCTACCAGTAGAAACTCATGACACGAGTATCTACTAGCTACCTAGTATTATCGTGAGAATTTGGTCCACGACTTTACGCAGCATGAACACATCTTTGTTGAGATGCATTTGCATCATGTAGGATGGAGTCATTGTTTAGGATGGATGGGGGAGATGGAGATGGAGATGGAGAAAGTGAAGATTATCACAAAGCAGATGGAAGAAAAGTAAAGGAATAGTTTCACATCAATGAATATACAAATTGGGAACCGCCCTCGACTTCATTTTCTCTTTTTGCTATAATTGTTCAATCAATCAATCAATCAATCCATTCAGGCAATCTACCAATAAATCCCAACACCAACATCTCAACGGCGTTTAAACATTCCAACTCCAGCTTTCACCAAAGGCCCATATATATACATCAACTTTCATCCCGCTCTCCGCCTTTCCTCCAACTTTGAACCCATATTTCTTATCCCTCCTTGTCTGCATCACTGCATCACTTCCATCGTTCATCGAGATACCACACACATCTTATCAATCAATCAAAAAAAAAAAATCGTTCTCGACCTTTCCGTGCCTACCTAGCTCAAACTTGGCTCACTAGCGTTCTCCCCCTGATACTCACATATTTATTTATTGACCTCTTCATCCTTTTTCTTCTTTTCAGAATGCCTTCTGCAACTACACCACCAACTCTCAGTACCAATTTGGCAGTTAAGAAAACTAGTTACGCTCGCACACAAGATCCAGATATGTTGAACTGCAAGAGAAAGATTATTTGCTTTTCGGGTATGTATTTCCTTTTTTTGATATACATGTACTCTATCCGGACTGGTATACCCAAAGAATACACTTCTCAATTGATTTGATATCAAGTCATTTGATCAATATTTCGTATTCCAAGTTATGTGAATATATTCAGAAGATTTGATTTATTACAAATTCAAAGTCTTTTTTATATTTAATTGGATATTGATTTTGTGATTTGATATCAAAATATCATTGTCTGGGTATAGTTGGGTACACTGCTTTTTGCCTATATGAGAATACATATATATTCAGATAAGAAACTAACATCTCCACTCCAGATTTCGATGGCACAATCTTCATGCAAGATACCGGGCACGTCCTTTTCGATTCATACGGATGCGGAGAAGAACGTCGTCAGATCCTCGATGAACAAATCAAAACCGGCGAACGTTCTTTCCGTGATGTTTCAGAAGAGATGTGGGGATCTCTCCGCGTTCCCTTCGAAGATGGTTTTGCCGTGATGGAGAAAACTCTCGAGATTGATCCTGATTTCCAAAAATTCCATCGCTTCTGTATTGATAACAATATTCCTTTCAATGTTATCAGTGCGGGCTTGAAGCCTGTGTTGAGAAAAGTGTTGGATAAGTTCTTGGGAGAGGAGGAGAGTAAGAGAATCCAAATCGTGGCAAATGAGGCAGAGATTAGTGAGGATGGAAGTCTGTGGAAGCCAGTTTGGAGACATGACACTGAGTTGGGTCACGACAAGGCATTGTCCATTACGGAAGCAAGAGAACTTGCTCAATTGGAATGTGAGGATGGAACTATCCCATTGATTGTATTCATTGGTGATGGAGTTTCTGATTTACCTGCTGCGAGACAAGCAGATGTTTTATTTGCACGAAGAGGTTTGAGATTGGAGGAGTATTGTGTGGAACATAAGATTCCTTACATTCCATTTGATACTTTTGCCGATATTCAAAAGGAAGTGGAGAAGATTGCTGAGGAGGATCAAGCGAAGACTGGTGGTGCAGGCAAGCCAGCTAGATTCAACCCAAGAGCCAACTTGTGGAGAAGAGTTTCAAGTCAGAATGCTGTAAGTTGTTTCTCATTCTTGGTCATTACTTCTTAATACTAATATTACATTCAAGGTTCCTTCATATGTTGCTGCTACTCCAACAAAGGAAGAAAAGATGTTCTTGTGGCCAGAATCTTTCTCTGAGCTTAAAGAAAATATACCAGCTTCAATCACGGAGGAGGTTGGCGCTTAAGATGGAAGATGGATAATTGTTATCATCTTCCGTCTGCTATATCTTTATTCACTGCATTTTTATTCCTTTTTATAAGTTGCATGGCGTTGAGGTATAGGCATTAATTAGCTAGCCGGTCGGGGAATCATTTTTTGGTGGATTTATAGGGGGTTCAAAAGACCTGTTGGTTCGGGATATTATTGCGACTAGATATATAGATTACTTGCAATAGATATTTGTTCTTATGAATTGGTTTGTTATTCTTGGTATTTGTGAATGTATTGGTATGAGATGATAGAATTAGTATATAATAGTATTGTTACTATGATCGAGTTTGCGATTGTAATTAAGTCGGATACCCCACTTTCTGGCCACCCCCCTTTTGGGCCACTTTTTATACCCAAAATACACCAAAAATGGAATTTTTAACTTTCTTATTTATGGATAGAATTCATTGAAAATTTGTATATATATAATTTAGATCGATTTAAGCTTATTCTAAAATTTTTAGATTTTTAGGACAAGCAACTGGAAATAAGCAACTGGAACAGTCATATATATAAAGACGATAATTCTTTACGAAGGATCTCTTTACAATTCACTTTATTATAATATATTCTAGAAATAGTCCAAGGGGCTCATTATGATACCATCAATATGCAGTTATAAGCATTCTGTTGCACTGCTGAGTATGTTGGGTTGCAACCCGATTGTTTTTATAATGATGACAATAATCATAGTAATAATTAATATAGAAAGAAATGATAATATATAATCTATTTACACACACACACGCATTCAATTTCGCACAACATATACTCCTTATTTATTTCCCCTGCCCCAGCAGGCTTAATCCTATCAAACCTTGTACTCACAGGAGGCTCCCATCACGCCAATAGCGATACATGCCTCTGATGTGTTGAGCGGTTCCTCAATCTAGAGGGTATTCCTTCTTTAAGCAATTACTAATACCTTAGGGGCTGGCATACAGTCCCTATCAATTATAAGATCATTTACAGATTCTGCTCTTAATGTAATCAAAAAACGATTCAAAAGGATCGATAAGATAAAGGGAAAGAGATGGAAAGTAATCGAGATATTCGTGGTATTAGCAGATAAGCTTGTATAAGGGTTTCAAGGCTAATAATACAAACTCGCTATGAAGTTTAAGAGTACAATTATTTCTATTTTATTAGAAGTAATAGAGATTACCTTTAATCAAAAGAAAAAGCCTATAACAAAGCAATTACAGTCAGAAAGTAATATATAGAAAACCTATACTGATGTACTGAAAACTTAGATAAGGTCTAAGGCAGTAAGCTTTATTATAGGCTCTACTAATATAATACGCTTTGTTTTTAATGAAAGTATAAATACTGAATACTTGAAAGCACACAGACTCAAAAAAGAGAATAATTGAATCGAGAAAACGATTCTTATAATAGCTGATAGGGAAGCTCTGCTTTTAGAGACTAGTCCCTTTCTATTAAGATTCAGAATAAAAGAGATAGTTGCTAGAATTATATTAATAAAGATCCTTTTTCTTTAGAGAAATAATATAGACTGGATATTAAAATATAATTTTAGTATTAATTAGAAAAAGATTATAAAAATAGAAAATATCGAGTGGGTATTTAAAACCCTTTATATAATAAATATATATAGATTAGAAAAATGGTTTATATATACAGTTCTATAAGTACCATACGATTTCTATTATATCGAAAATACTCCTATTCCTATACCTATTAAATTTATCAAGAAGGAAATCACAGCTCAAACCGGCAAGTAATCAATCAACTACAGATTGACACATAACAAGATCAACCTGATTACTAAAAGAATTACCTGAATCATTAGCTTCAATACTGTAATACCGCAGTTCCGACTATTCAATAACAGCTTCTACTCGATTCTTCTAAATAAACCTCAGGAAATTCAACTTTATAATACTAACTGCCTAAAGTATTGTAACCCCTTTACCTACAATAAAGCCTTAAGATACTCGATATACAGTAAACTAAACACTAAGTATAAAAGCATACTTATATATCAGTAATATATTAGAGCAGCTTAATATATTAATTGTTATAAGCTCTTCTATACTGATCATTCCAATTGCTTAGCTATTCCTAGAGTCTACATTAAACGATGAATTGTTTTAACCACAAAGAAACTGGCTACAGTCAGAGCTATTAGCAGAAAAGACTATAAAACATTATACAGAGCAAATATAGATAAAGTGGATTATACCCTTAAACCACCTTTGCCTTTTAGAATAACAATTGCAGAAACCCCGATCACTCTGGGAGCAAGAATTATAGTATATAAGAATAAATATCTTAGCAAATATTCGCATAGATTTAATATAAGTTTACCAATTATATTAACTATATTATATATATACCCAGCTTATAGTTAAAACTAGCAGAATCTTAATATAAAAGCCTTAACAGAAAAAGCCTTTATTTTAATAGATCTGGAAATAAACAATATAGAGATCTTTATAATAATAGATATTATATCTAGATTCTCTCTATAAGTAATATAATTAATAAGTATATTCAAAGGAATAAAGGTTTTATTATTATTTAGACAAATATAGACCAGAAACACATAAATCATATCATATTATTATAACTAATAGCTGAAGCTTAGCTAAATATAATATATTTATAGAAACTAAGACTATATTGAAATTCAATTATACAAAATCATAATACATATAATTGATATTAGCTGATTAATAATTAGAACCTTTAGGGAAACTTAAAGAAGAATAAATAAGACCCTTAAATTATAATATATATACGAAAAGATATACACTTAAAAATAAAATAAATAAATCAACTCGAAAACAAAAATTTATTTTGAATATAAGTTAATTTTATTTATTTATTTTATTTATAGTGATTAACGTCTAATATCTGACCTCCCAAGGGGTATTCTAGACGTACTAAGAAGTGGGCTTACAGGCCGCTAGTGTTCCAGCCACTCATAGTAGTATAATGTTAGCTAATTAGGGGCTTGTTGTTTCTAGTATTCCCCCGCTTAATACCACTTATAACAATCCTGTGGCTGTTCTATCTAAGGGTTTGTAGTTTTGTTTCAGAGAACCTTATTTCATATATCATCCGGATATCGGCAAATAATCAGATCGATTATTATCAATCGGGAAAGTGTTCGGAGCACTTATAGCTGATTGATGCAAATCTTAGGTTGATTAAAGTGGAAAGCTTATTCTCAGAGTATTGGAGTAGATTGGAATTCGCATAGTTTCGTATAGTTTAGGTATATCCTAGTATAGAATCTGAATCTAACAAGAAGATTAATAAAGCTATATTGTATTCACAGAATACGATTAATATATACTATCACATTCTATTCGAATCAAAATCAATTTGATGTAAATAGCTAATTACTGTATATCTGATTATTAATTGAATATTGAAAAAAATACAGTAGGCTTTTTTCAATCCTGTATATACAGGTTTTCGTGTTATTTTCGTAATTGAATCTGATATAATAGACTGCAAAGTCACTGTATCCAATCCGTATCGCTATAAGTCTATATAATATCCTGTAAGAAAGCTTGAGGCTTTCCGGTTTTGAGATATTATATACTGATTTTCATATATTATATATTTTGGAGATCAGGCCTCTTTTTTCCTTTTACCATTTGCTTTCGAAACACCGACATTTGACACGTAGAATAGAGCAGAAGCTATTGACTGTAGGAAGACAGAATAGGCTAAAGTCAAGCAACCCAGCCATACCCTAATCAGCAAAGTGATCAACTACCTTGTTACCCTCAATCTCAGTATACCCAGAGAACCACTTGATTATAATATCATAATATTATATCACTTGATAGTATTTGTGATATATCTATTAAAAGAAGGCAGTAACGCTTCCTCGTATTCCCCAGATTACTGATATATTATCAATATATAACTATATTCGTTTCTGATAGGGATAATCAATAATGCTTAGAAGGCATTCTAATCCCTGCTATATGCCGATCACCTTAATATCAAAAACATACGACTATTCGTATATACGATTATAGTCACTATCGATCTGTTGCTTGCTATAATAGATTGCAAAGTCATACCCCATGCAATAACCATATTCATTGTATTGTTCAGATCTGTCTGAAAATACAGAATAATCTTCTTAAGGGATTAAATCCCACTATTCCTTGAATGCTTTTGCAGCATTCTTTTTATCCATACCATTCATTAGATTAATGCGATATTCGGGAGAGAAATGAGGTTGTAAGAATCTGGAATACTCGATGGCAGGGATCGCCTATCCTATTCTTTGCAGTTTTGTATTAGAATCTTTCAGAATACCTATACCTCATCCTCTTTTTCTAATGTATAGCTTTAATCGATTTATAAATAGATATTGTATATTTACTGTTTAAAACCGAAACGCAAATCTCAGTCTGGCTTACTTTAGTGTAACAATTCCAATTGGGAGACCAGCTTCTATGAAAAATACAGTCATTAAGATTATTTTGTAAACGAGTAAAGCTCCCTGTATTGTATTGTAGATTATCTTGCTAACTAAGTCGATATGTTTCTTAATCTTGATATTGACCAGAATATAACCTGTATTTGAATGTTGTTTGTATAGCCTATCGAACTATACTTTAAAGCCGAAAAGGATAATAGGGAGTATATAAGTAATAATCGCTTTTCGCAAGCAGACTATAGATAATCCATAAGCTGTATAAACTATTAATCGAATATGGGATACAATATATATAACTTTCGTAATATGCGTTTTGATATACTATAGAAATATTAAACGCCAATCAAAAAAGACATCAAGCTAGTATAAGATTGGTTATACTTTATTAATAAACCCTAAAGGGGTTAGTGTGATAACTAGGTTTCGATTTATTTTTATAGCTGGGTTTGTAATTTCATGTTTTTTCGATATATAAAATAACTCAAACTTTTTCGAAATAAAAAAGATCTTATTCTGATTTCCCCATTGTAGGATACATTGAACAGTTCGATAAAGTATATATATATTCATGAATAGATCTTTAGATGTATGATATATAACTATATTGTTAATATATTCAAAGCATTATATTCTATTTTGATTAAGAAGTTTAATAAGGTAAAAGGTATACAGAATAAAGGAGAATAGCAATCCCTGGGGGATACTGCATATGACCAGGAAATCCTGTATTATAATTCCCTTAAGCCTTATATATATATATCTCTTAGTCA